GCAGCTAGTCAAACATGGGGCCCACTTGTAAAAGGAGATAAACTACAAATATGGTATCTTCTCTAGGTGGGACCCACATATGAAAAGGTATATAAACTACAAATGAGGTATCTTTTTGTCTTTAATAGGAAATGTTCACACAACAAAACCAGTAGTACAACACAATGAAAGCTTGCAGTTTAAAGGAAAATTCTTAAATGACCAAAATAACCCTTAAACTCAAATTGAATCTCAGAAAGCATACATGTCGACGGTGTAGTGGCTGCTTCATTTGTAACTCTCTCTTATATAATAAGAGAAAATATATACATATATAATTTTATTTTTATTTGTATCACACAAGTAAACAATGCAACGCTTGAGTATACATTATATATTATTTATTTTTGTCTTTTATAGCAAAGTTGATTAATCATTTCGTCGAACAACTGCCGGCTATATTTTTAATTTTTTAAGTCCCATAATTTAATTAATAAGAAACTACTTATCTTATTTTCAAGTACTTTTTTTTATAAAAAAAATTGTTATTCTTTGGATTCCTATTTGTACTTGTGTATCTTAGCTCATGCTCCTCGTGCAAATACAAATACAATTGTAAAAGTAGTTGAAAGATTTTATTATATTATATAGGGAAAATAGTTTGATATACCCATCAATTTTGTTATTTAAATTTGATATATTCCTCATTATAAAAGTGGTTTATATATACCCCTATTATTATACAAATGACTTATATACACCATTTTCTATTAATGGAAGTGGATACTTATAAGTTATAATCCGCTTGTTATAGTTAATTGGTTTGACAAGGTAAGATTAATGAATGTTAATTAAATCTGATGATTAAGAAATAAAGATTTATATGCCAACACATATCATGTATTTATTGGCTTATGGACTAATCTAGCCTTTGACCAACGGGTTCTAGTGAACCCAATAATTTTTGCTGAAAATCTTTATATGTATAAAGATAATATATATATGTTTTACAATATAATATTTACAATAATCTAGCCTTATATGTTTGATGATTAAGGTTCTAAGAACGGTGTTGCATTATTATTTTTCCTATGTTATCTCTATGTTTTTTTCCTTTATTTTGTATTTATATGAATTTCTGATTGTACATAAGTTTATAATTTTGTTTGTTTTCTGTCAAAAAATAACGTCGTTAATGAAAGGTGCACTATTTCATGGTAGGAACTGTTACTTTTCATAAATTTTTCATTTGTCACTCAAAGCATAACCTTTCTTATTTTTTTTTATTTTTTTTAAATCAACAAATCGAATGATATTTCTGTTTTAGTTTTTGCTTCTTCTTCTCCCTTTCAATCAAAACTTTTCCTTGTCATAATGATTGAATTACTATTAGTATTCATAATACAAGTCGAATCGTACATGTAGAGTTTCACCTCAAAAAGGTGTGCAATATACAATAGAAATAGAATACTTTGACCCAACTTATTTCAACAAAGTAAACTGACGCGTTCATTTATTAACTTAGCTCATTTTGATCCATCGACAATGTTAAGCTGGAGTAGCAAATTGGAGGAGGTCCTTATCATTCTTGAAAATAGACATGTCTTGTTCATTCAAGTTTACAGAAGCTTCTACTCCTCTATCATGATCATCAGATGTATTCATTAAGATAAAACTATTGCTAGATGGACCACTTCCTTGACTTGCTCTAGCAGGTTTCCCAAATCCAAAATCTATTTTTTCCAATTCGAATGCTAATGTACTAGTAATTATATAAAGATCACAATTCCTTTGTTGGAATGCAAATTTCCTTGTTCTATATGCATCCAACATCTCTATGACCAACTCATTTTATTCTAGATTATTTCTGATGGAGAGGTTGTGTTTGGACTCTCTTATATCGGTTATTAATTTTGGCAATCTGAGGTCTCGTTCATATTTTTCATATATTGGTGTAGAAAAGATAGTGAGGATATTTCCTATGGTGGTAGGTGGGAGTGGTGGTTGTGAAGTTGCCTGACTTCGCAAGTTTGAGGGTAGGACTAACTGAGATCGCCCTAAATTGATAGTAGAAGATGAAGTGGCGCATTTGTAGAGGAGGGTGCTTACAACTTCGGTCCTTGTTGGATTTTGTACGGAGGATTCTACGGCAACCAAGGCTTTAAGCGCTTTTATCTTGGATTCAAAAAAAACAAATTAAACCTCTTATATATGGATACATCCTTCCCTTCTCGGCTCGATAACCGGGTAAAGCATAGGACCATCAAATGGTGATGGCATTAGTGAATCCTTAACAAAGTATGGAGGAGATAATATTAATTTTGGATCCCGAGTTAACTTAGCCCAATCCCTCAAAAAGTAGTAAGCTCAGCATGCATCTCCCACCTGTTAGGATTGAAATAACAATAACAACATGTGAAAGCTAATAATTGCAAATTTTAAATGAATTAGAAGCAAAAAAAAAAACACACTATATTGAAATAAATATAATACTTTAATATGATTTGATCAAGTAACCTGTCTATTCGAAAACTAATATAAAAATCATAACCCTATTAGGGAATTTATATAGAAGTGAACTTTTTTTTTCCAAAAAAAATGGTAAATATGGAAAAAAAATTCCTTTCCATCAAAAGTTCTTTTCGAAGTAAAAGAAAAACACGACAGATAAAAGTAAAAAAATACAGGGCAAACTCTAATATCACCTTGTGTGACAGGCAAAGACTAAGAGCTATTCCTCCACACTCGAAATGGCTTAATTGTGCAACAGTTAAGGCACCAGATGTCAACGACGACGAATACCTCCAACATAAACCTCGAGGGAATGTCAAATCAGGGTTATGAATAACTTTGTTCATGGAAGAGTTGATTTCAACTTCAAAGAACTCAGCACCATGATCATCACAGTCAATAGTAGCATTGTGTTTTAGACTTCCTGCCCATGGATAGTAAGATGTAAGAGTTTTTGACAAAAAAATTGTTAGAAATTTAGATAATTGGTGTTTAGAATTGTAGCCACTTGATGTTTTGGGTAGAAGAAAACAAAGGGTACATAAATATTACTAAAAATTTGATCAATAAGGGAAAGATTGTTCCATCTTTGAGTATATGGAGTGGATGAAAGAGGTTTGATAATCTTCTTGGAAATAATTGATAGCATTTTTTTTATGATGAAGTGTCCCTTTCTTCTTTTAGCCTTTTACCAAATATAGGTATTACAATTTATATACGAGAGAAGTATTGAAAACATTCCTAAATTAAGTATGAATTATTAGTTTTATTCTCAAATTATTGATAGCTTTAATAATAACTATTTGCTTGATTAACTGAACTTAAATACACCCCGATCTTATAATATGAGTGAAATACACCCTAAATTCTCGCCAAATTTAGGGGTGTTTTCAAAACTTCTCTCGACTTTTTATTAAGAGTTACATGTCATACAAGAGTTTGAGACCACTTACTATGTCTTGTGGCAAATCAATGGTGTATCTAAGTTTAGTTAGTCAAGTAGAAATGTGTTTTTAAGGTTGTGAATAGTTCGAGAATGAAACTAATAAGTTACTTTAAATTTAAGGTGTTTTCAACACTTCTCTATATATATATCTTTTCTTTATTGTTATTATTATTTTTATTTTTGAACAATGACACTGATGTTAGAGGTGCCAATCAAATGACACGTACTCAGTTGCACATGGGAATTTAAAGCAAAAAATGACAGGTATGTATATTGAGAATAGTCACAAATTATAAATTCATGTACTACCCTTGTTGTTGTCAATAATTCACACAACATTCAATGCCTTCTTTAATTTGCAATTTTAGGTTCATTCAAGAAACTCTTATTTAGTTATGATGTTGTTTTCGTATCTTATAATATCTTTTTCAATTTTTTGGTTTTGATTTGTTTAATCTAATACAACAAACTCTTATGAAGGTCAAATATCTTTGATCTCTATTATAAATAGAAAAAATAAGATCACCCTCCTCCCAATAAAACTTTATCGTTAAAGAAATACAAAATTGGTAATTGTTGAGCATATATTATATGCGTTAGAGGCTTGAATTAATATGGATATTGATGGACGTACATGTTATTTAAAAAGCAAGTATGGTGATTGGTGATTTGCTGTTCAAAATTTTGAGATAGTTATATCTTTTTCAATGATACCCGCAAGAGTGATTGAGTTGGTTGAACATATAATTCAAAATAGAGATCATAAATTTAAAATCCCCTATATGTTTACTCGGTTGAACTTGTCATATGAGACTTGCTTAGTATAGTTTACCTTTTCAGTGTGTGGTATGTGGGCTATTGTATTAGAGCCCTATAATACGCACCTGAATCCTAAAGGATAGTAACTACGAGCTTCCTTGTTAACAAAGAAAAACATATCTATTTAAATGACATTACTATTAAATTGATTCCCTCTTATATAACATGCACTGGTCCATCGCCCAAGTGAAGAACAGATGTAGCAGTTTTTGGTTGAGGCTGTTAGTTTCTTGACAAACTCTAACAGAAGGATGTAAGTTGTAACTTTTGAGGATAGTTTAGGGATGATTTTGTTCATTATATAGTATAAGGATGTAGTTTAAGTTTAAAGTATAAACGAGGGAATATTTTTTTTAGCCATTTATTCTTCGGTGTGAGGTATAAAGCATAAAATCAAGGATAAAATGTAGGATTATTTTATACGTCTGATCTTTATTATAGGTGTCAAAGAATAATAAGAAGAACCTCGAAAAAAATAATTACACTTTGACTTTCCAAAATACACATCAATACTATCATGCATATGATGATTTTTTGCTACAAGTTTGACTTTCCATAAATAACAAATCAAAAACAACATTAGCTATTATAAATACACGAATAGATAATAGAAAACGAAAGTAGCACCTCAAAAAGTTGCAATATATTTTAGAAATATAACACTTTTGACCCAACTTATTTCAACAAGCACATTGACACGTCCATTTATTAGTGTAACTCATTTTGACTCGTCCATTTGCTGCCGTTAAACTGGAATAGCAAATTGGAGGAGGTCTTTGTCATTCTTGAAAACAGACATGTCATGTTCATTCAAGTTGACAAACGCTTCAACTCCTCTGTCATGATCATCGTCAGGTGTATTCGTTAAGATAAAAAAGTTGCTAATTGGACCAATTCCTTGGCTTGCTGTAGGTTTTCCAAATCCAAAATCTAATTTTTCGAATTCGAATGCTAATGTACTAGTAGTTATATAAACATCGCAATTCCTTTGTTGTAATGGCAATTTCCCTGTTTTATATGCATCCAACATCTCTATGACCAATTCATTTTCTTGTAGATTGTTTCTAGTGGAGAGGTCGTGTTTGGACTTTCTTATATCAGTTACTAATTTTGGCAATCTGAGCTCTCGTTCGTAGTTTTCATATATTGGTATGGAAAATATAGTGACCATATTTCCTATGGTGGTTGGTGGTAGTGGTGGTTGTGAACTTGCCTGACTTCGTAAGTTTGAGGTTAGGACTAACTGAGATCGCCCTAAATTAGAAGTAGAGGAAGAAGCGGCACATTTATAGATGAGGGCGCTCGCGACCTCATTCCTCGTTGGATTTTGTACCATGGATTCTGCAGCAACCAAGGATTTAAGCGTGTTTATCTTGGATTCGGAGAAAATGAACCTCTTATAGATACATCCTTCCATTTTCGGCTCGACAACAGGGGAAAGCAGAGGACCATCAAATGGTGATGGCATTAGTGAATCCTTAGCAAAGTATGGAGGAGATAATGTTGATTTTGGATCTCGAGTTAACCTAGCCCAATCCCTCAAGAAGTAGTAAGCGCTGCACACGTCTCCCACCTATTAGGATAGAAATAACAATACGTCATGTGAAAAGTAATAATTGTAAATCTTGAAGGACGATAAATCAAAAGCAAAAGTACAAGCTATACTAAAAGAAACATAATGTTTAATATGATTTGATCAAGTGACCTGCATATTCCAAAACTAATATAAAAAATACATGACAAACTCTAACACTATGCATGCACCTTGTGCAACATGCAAAAACTAAGAGCGATTCCTCCACACTCGAAATGGCTTAATTGTGCAAGAGTTAAGGGACCAAATGTTGATGACGACGAATCCCTACAAGATAAAACTTGAAGGAATGTCAAATCAGGGTGATTAATAACTTTATCCATGGAAGAGTTGATTTCGACTTCGAAGAACTCAGCACCATGATCATCACACTCAATAGTAGCATTGGTTTTTAGACTTCCTGCCCATGGATAGTAAGATGTAAGAGTTTTTGACAAAGAATTTGTTAGAAATTTAGATAATTTGTGTTTTGGGATTGTAGCCACTTGATGTTTTGGGTAGAAAAAAACAAAGGGTACATAAATGTTATCAAAAAATTGATCAAGAAGGGAAAGATTGTTCCATCTTTTAGTATATGGGGTGGGAGAAAAAGGTTTGATAATCTTCTTTGAAATAGATGATATCATTTTTTTTAAGGGCAAGTCCAATTAACTCTATAGTATATACATTGAATACTACATTGATATTAGATGTGCTAGTCAAAGTACAACTGCTAGTTGCACATGGGAATTTAAGGCAAAAAAATGACAGGTATGTGTATATTGGGAATATCACAAATTATAGAAGTCATGTACTACCCTTGTTGTGCACTACACCTATCTATTCATCAACAATTCATATAACATTCCATGCGAAGAAACTCTTGTTTAGTCATATAACATTCAATGCGAAGAAACTCTTGTTTAGTCAGCACGTTGTTTTCATTTTTTATGGTGTTTTTTTTTTTTTTTTTAATTTCTTGTTTTGATTTGGTAAATTATGTCTGGATTTACTATCTAAAATCGCAACCTCTGATGAGGGTCAAATACCTCTAATATCTACTATAAGTGTCAAAGAACAATAAAAAGAGGAAAAATTACAGAAATCCCACCTTTTAGTTTACTTATTACTATTATCCCCTATAAGTTTTACAAATTTCCAAAATCCCTCATTTTCGCGCATCAGATTAGTGTATCTCGCGCATCAGATTAAAGTATCAGTGCTTATATTATTGTATCTGGCGCATCATATTAGTGTATCATGTATAAAATGTACATCAGATTTATCACGCCCCAAGCCTACACCCTGGGCGGGACCGGCACTCGGAGACCATTGCTGGCCCCAAGCGAAC